ATAATTACGATGATAATTATATTTTAGAATATTTTCCAGAACTTTGTATACCTGAAGCAGTACCCGTAGAGATTCTTTACCCAATATCATCCAGCAGTACTCCTATACAAACATCCACTGAAGTCACAAAATCAGTAAACCCCGTTCCTCTGGCACCACAACGAAATGACCTTGGAGTGGTCAATCAACGACTTATAGCAGCAGCGAAAAATCAGAATTTACAACGTAAAGTTCTTAATCGTGTTGAAAATCCTATTATACGCGAGCATGCTAATAACACAGCAAGGGTCAACGCTAACAACCCGCAGATTAATAATAATAATATTAATATTAATAATAATAATAATGTAGGTCAGCGACGGATTTTGGATCAGTGGCGTAAATGGATAATATTATCATTAGTATGTCTTTACCTCGTTATAATAAAATTATTAGCCCGGTCTGAATCCGTCTCTGGAAGTGAAGCTTCTTGAATGAGATTAATGTCATTTCTAGTGATTAAAAAAAAATTCACAGGTAAAAGAAAGAACACTAGTGTTATTTGTTATAGTTTCTTTAAATGCATTAAGGAGAAGTAGCAGTTTTCTTTGAAGTTCTGTAATGTTATACTATATTAGCGTTTAGTAAATAGGTGAAGTAGATTTTATATATACATTTAAGAATTTTTTATATACTTTGAATTTTATACTTGTATAACTATCTATGTCAGTATATTAAAAGTACCTAAGTTGTACGTTTTTTCATCCTCATTGGTATTTTCATTATTATTGGGAGGAATATAGAAGAATTACAGAATTTTTTGTATGTTGTTTAAATTAAATAAAGTTGATCTTCTTCTCTTGTGAATTTTTTACAATAAAATTCCTGGTTATACTACTTACTGTACAATTTTTATTGGTAAGAGGTTGTGTTTGAAAAGAACCCTTTTAATAAAAACCTTTACTATTTAGATTTATGAAAAAAATATGACGAATTGTAGATACCACAAATAAGACATATTGTGATCACCGTAATTACCGTGGCTATTATAATTATAGATATATTAAAAAATAATTAAAGTTCCAGAATTCTGTATGATTGATAAACAAAACGTAATTTTGAAGTAAATTTACTACCACTACATTACGAGGGAACGAGAGATATTATCAATGCTAATTAGCATTTACTAGACTTTGCAACCTTAAAGAACATTTAAGTTTAGTAATGTAAGTCTTTCTAATTTCTTAATTATGTTACGTTACGAACGCATTAACAATGGAGCCTTTTTATAAGTTCATTAGGGAAGCAAATCAAGTGAGAGATCCCTTTATCCTTATTGCAAATCGGTACAATGCCCGAATGTACAGTAATTTCAAGTTACTGTAATAATACGTGAGATAGCAGGATTTTGCCGGTCCAGAAAAAAAAATTAATATTAATTATTAAATAGAATCAACTTTAATTTAGAATAAATTACATAAATCAAATAACATTTTAGTTAGTTCCAATTTGTGTAATACATGAATATACATTAAAAATGCGTGTTGATCAAACAAATTTAAAAAGAAATAGTTCATAAAAACCTAAAAATAGTTATTGTATATAATTTTAAGGCAAAATCTGTTTACCCGAAT